ATACATAACCTCGAAAGTCTGGTTAAGTTGGTAGAATTGTTTATTGTCGTTTGTGTTGTCAACAAGCTGATCCGGTGTAAAGCGAAGTTGAGCCATTGTTGAGCCAACAAAAATTGGCAAATAAATTGACAAGCAAATTGATCAATTTAAATTGCCAGTGTAGAACTAGTAAAAGACATGTTACAAAACCCAGTCGTAATGTAGACCTAAAAAAGACACCTTTAAAACTTTGTGTGCTGTCTGGGTAGCTGACTATTTCGTATCTATTAGAGGCGTTTTCTCGCGTCTCAAATGTTTCAAAACATTTTTCAAAACTGGTTTAAGCAATGTCACCATGACGTCATGATTTCTCGTCGCGAGAAAATGGTTTGAAAATGTGGATTGGATTGTATTTCGAAACGGTTTGAACCAAATTTGAAGTGACGTCATGGGTTTATCGCGAGAATGTACCTACTGTTTCAAAACAGTTTTGAACCAGTTTCAAAAAAATGGACGCGAGAAAACGCCTTAAGGTATCTATTACTCTATCAGTAACATGACATTAAGGGCGGGTATTATAAAACTACTTTGAAAGTTAACTTAAAGTTAACTTCTGAAAATACATGTAATTCGAAAAGTTAATTGCAAGTTAACTTTCAAAGCAGTTTTATAAAACCCGCCTTAAGTTGGGTACCTATGGACTCTACCTGAGTTGGGAATCCCACAGCTACGTACAGGGCAAAATCTGCGCTGAGCTCCACCTAGATTAACATTAAGGCCGGGCGTAGAAGCAGCAGAGCAAAAATGCGTTCATGGCGACCGATACGTACAAATGCGCGCTTACTTTGAGTCACCACTAGGGGCTAGCAGACAAATGCCTCAAATACTATTTCATTTCCCAGTAAAAGAGTGACTGAATTTCTTGATAAAAAATAGTTTTTAAAGATGAAGGATTTTATTTTTCTATATATGCTTGAACCGGCCCGGAAATAAGCGGCCCTTCGGGAAACTTCCCAAAATCCCTGCTGGCCCATCCGCCCCGCCCCTGGGTAGAGCAAGTACAAATAAACAACCTAATTATCCTTATTGCTGCGCTGATCGACTTTTCGTGGAAGTTAAGTATGCGCACTAGTATATGTATAGTCCAACAAATACCATTTTAAAGTCACGTGATTTTTCTCTATCCTTGTTGAATACATCTCAAACAGCGGTGATAGTAAAATTGACGAAAAAATTGCTGTCTAATTATTGTTCATAATATTCTTACCTGAAATAGAATCCGTCACTGTCATCAAATTAGTTTGTCAAAGTTATTTTCGAAAATAATACAACGAACAAACAAAGCTAATAATTTTGACTATATATTAACCTTTTTCCAACTCGAAAAGAAGCAAATAGAAAACGGGTACCCAGTTTAAGTTCAGAATGTATTACAACAAACAGCAGATGCGACAAATGTGAGTCTCGCAACAATTGCGAGTATTAAAATTGGCCTCTGATTGGTCAATACTACTTCAGAAACGCGTTTGTAAAATGCTAGTGGGAACATAATATTAAAATTCAATAGTAATTAACCACCAGTATCTTTTTGTAGGTGATATCAACGACATAATCAATGGACATACGTTTTTTGCCACCAGTATCACGTGACTTTAAAATGGTATTTGTCGGACTATATCACTTTCTATTTCATTTGAACTGTGTTTCTTATTTGGTTTTAGATAATCATTTCTGAGCAGAGAGTTGTTTTCTGAAGTTTGTCTACTTAAGGTCTGTTTTCACAGAAATCACAAACCAATCAGAGCCTTTTTGATTGTTGCAAATCGTCAACAACAATTTTTCTGGCTATTTTGTGATTTCTGTGAGAACAGACCTATAAAAGAGAGAGGGAGAAGAACGAGAAGAAGGGTTTTTATAACTGGTTTTCTCATCAACAAATCACGATAACTACGGAATGACATACAGGACTATAATTTGACATAACCGCTTTTAAGTTGGAACTGGAATTAGCCTATAAGGGGCACAAAAAGCTTCAGGAAAGAGCTAGAAAAGTCCTGGTTGCCACTACCACCCCTGCTTATGAATAGATTTGTTAGTCTTTTTAAGTAATAAGTAGGTTAAGGTAGTTTTAAGATTATGATGTAAATATTGTAAATAAATTGACTATTGATTGATTGATTGACCTATAAAAGTTCCTGTAAAATAAGTTTGATAGATGAAATTTTGTCTAAAACTCGATTTTAATTGAATTCACCCCATTGTTATAGGGTGTTTGTTACAACTGAAAACAAAAATTATCCCTCTTCATAATTGTCGCTCCCTATATACAAAATCCGGAGATTCCCGTTTCGTATTGTTGAATGACTCAGGTGAGAGTGACCAGGGCCGTCTTAAGGCATGGGCCCGCTGGGCCCGGGCCCAGGGCCTCGGCGCCAAGGGGGCCTCATCGCTAAGTCCAAGCCTAATTTGAAATAAATTTTATAAAAAAAAAATTGAAAAAAAGAAAATATAGGCGGATAGCGATAAAATGCAACTTGAATGTCACAATTTATTTTGACTTTGTTCAAAACCTCTACAATTTCTTTTCCTCGTCAACGCACCGTTCGGGAATAATGAGTTCAAATTTAAGTTCCGATCATAAAGTACTGAAAAGCTTACTAAAAACACGTTTGGTCTGCACGTGAAGATGCAGTTACAGCTTTTACTGCAAAAACATTGAAATCAAGATGGATGACTTAGAAAAAATTTCTGACCTGACTGAAATTGAAATTTCAAGAGAAGCGGTAAAACTGTCACAATTTTATGACAAAGAAACCGATGAATTAATTTTGCAGCATCGATATTGAAAAACTAAAAAAACAGGAGGTAGAAATGGGGAATGAAAATATAAATAAGAAGAAAAGGAAATCCAAATCTACTGATAATCAAGATGAACCAATAGAAGATAGAGATATATTTGCACAGTAATGATTGGAAATATTGAAATTGCTATGAGAATTTTTTTATCCATGATGGTCATCAATGCAAGCGGGGAACGTTCATTCTCCACATAGGCGCCGGAATTTCAAAATTACTATGGGGGCTTGGGCTCCAAAAATTAACATAAGTAGAATTAATTAGACAGACAGGACTAGGGTACTAGATACAAAGACTTCAATGGGACCAGTTGACAGATACCCATTTCACTGCAGTATCGCCACAATGAATCATTAATCATCCCCGTAGGTTCCTTCATATTATTGAAATTCGTGCCTCTTCAGCAGCTCGGCTATACTCGGCTTCGACAGCACCATTGGCGTGGTCAGGATTTTGTCTTGGGGGGGAAAAGGAGCAAATTTGCAGGAAGTGATCCTTACAGCAGTGGCAACTTCGCCGTAGGCGCTGCAGGAAGAAAAGCCCCGCAGCGACGAAATTTTCACGGGTTTTTTGGAACTTCTAATGATGGGGCAAGCGGAAATGCGGCTATTTCAATAAATTTTGATGAGAATTTATAGTAGAACTTTACTTATAATGTATGTATTTGAGTATTTTCCATTTTGAATTATTAATAAAATTTAAAGGCCTTTGAGGAAAGGGGATGAATGCCGATTTGATTCGCCTTAACCGGCTACAAGCCAACTCGACTTTTTACTCCCTATGTGTCTAGTAGGTTTGTCCGGTCTGTATATACATTTTCCATATTAAACTAGGTTAAAAAGGCCAGTGTCATTATCGTACATTATACAAACGGAGATGGAATAGTCCAACGGCTTATTAAAAAAACGTATATAACTACAAGTGTCACTTCGTGTAACACTTCATCACGACAACTTATTGATTTTCTGTATGGCTTTGGAACGTACTTGTTGTAGCTATGACGAAGTAATGAGGTACAAATACTCAGTAGTAACTACAGTTTGCGTAACATGGAATCAGCAAACTTCGAACTATGGGAAGCAAATAGCTTGAAGCCCGGTTGTCTGATTCACACGGTAGTAGACAAGACAATTTTGATATACAGATCTTTTTAGCCAATGGACTGAAATCAACACACTTCCGCTATGATGCCACGCTTTCATTCAAAATAAATTGAAAAAAAAAAACTCAACTTATGGCACGAAACAAACTTATAAATAAGCTAATGGCATGGCCGAAAAATGATCTACCTAGATACAGGTTTGACAGGTCAACAACAGGCCAATTTTAATGGAATAGAATGAAATGTCTAGAAAAACTCTAAGGTTGAATAAAGAACGGAAGATAACGATTTCCCCTGTTCAACCTCCAGCATTTTCAGCGTTTTTTAGCCACCTTGTTGTTTTCTTCCTCCGCTTCGCGACGGGAGGCAGACCACATCTCGCTCTAAAATCTAATACATTTTTCCCTTGCATAATGAATAACTATTATTGATGGGATGTTCCATCTTTCGGTGTTTAAGTTGCTCGATATATTAGGATATAGAATATCATCTATAACTCTTTGGAATGTAGCCGGCACGTTCTTCAAACCAAAGGGCATGCGCAAGAACTTATAATGCCCGTTTTTTGTGCTGAATACGGTTTTTTCGATGTCGTTGTCTAGATCTGGTTGAAGCCGCTAGCTAAATCTGAGGCAGTGAAATACTGGCAGCGTCCCAGCTTCTTCAAGAGATCCGTTATGTTGGCTAATGGGTATCTGTTAAACTGTTTGTCAAACTGGCTATAGCAAAAACAACAAAAACATAAAACACACAAGTTTGACATAAAAATAAATAGTAAGAATGTTAGGATCAGGAACTCAATATTTTTATACCTACTCACTACACCAACTACATAAAATGCCAAAATCAATATGGGGGCTCCGCCCCCATTGCAAATTTACTAGGAGGGCTCAAGCCCCCATTGCCCCTTGGTTCCAGCGCCTATGAATCTCCAAACTTAAAATAGTCAAAAGCGAAATTAGAAACCGCATGGCCAGTCGCGATTGAGTAACCTAAGTTTGATGAGTATTGAAAGCGAAATTTTACAAACCATTGGTTTTGAAGACATAATTCACGATTTTATTTTGCCTCTCTGTAAAATCTAGAAAATGACCTTTATAATTTGTTATTTTCTTTCCACAAAATATACATCACATTTCTACATTTCAGAAGTTTTTCTAATTTATTCTTGTGGTATGAGAACCCCCCGCGTAGGTAAGGGGTCTCCTTTTACATATAGGCCCAGGGCCTCAAGAAGTCTTAAGACGTCTCTGAGAGTGACGGTCACGGAATCGAAGTTTACAACACACAAAATCGAAACCGAAACAGTCGGCGCGCGACATTCGAGCGATTCGCAGTTCGAGCCCCGGAAAAGACGCTTGCGTATCTCTCTGGTAGGAGTGTGCGATTCAAATCGATTTTTTTGGAAACGATTTCCGATTTTTCAAATCGATTTTTTCTCAGACGATTTTTCCAAGAATCGATATTTTAGGAAGGAGATCGTCCTTACGATCTTGTCATCAGTCAATATTCTTCTTGGCATTAGATTTTTCTTCAACTTTTGTTTGCTATTTTTTTGTGATTACATAATGTTAGGTATGTCCAGAGTCCAGAATGTTTATTTTTATGTTTTCTTTTTCAACTTAGCTAAACTTAATACAATTGCCTTATTATTTATGTATGTCTAAGGTCCTTTCGGCGGTTTAACTTTGGTTCTAATAAAATAAATTAAAAATTATGTTTTTTTTGTTTAGATATCTACGTAAAATAACATATTCAATTATTTTTAATTATATTCTATTGTATTGATAAAGACAATCTTTTCTTTATGTACTTATGATAAAATCAAATTAAAAATAAAATAAACATACCGTAAAATGGGGTTACTTGGGACAAATTCACTTCCATTTTTTCAATAATGTGGTAATTTATCAGAGTTTTTAGGAAGGCAAAGCAACAATTCCTGTGTATAAAATTTCTTTCATATGCATTTAACCTATAAAGCACCATAAATGGCTCCTACTGTAGGAACATTTTGTAAAAAAAAATAAAATATTTACTGTCCCAAGTTACCCCGCATTGGGGTTAAATGGGACTGTACCGGTTTTACACCGAAAATGCATGTTAAACTACTCAGGGGTTACTTGGGACTGCAGAAAAATGAAAATAATACCCCAGCATACATGTTGAGTTGAAATTTTTTGTTCAGCGAATTATTTAGAGCGAAGAAAAATCTGAGTTAACATCAATTTTTTTTTTTTTTTTTTTTTTACGGATATGCGTAGTCGCAAGGAAATGTCCTATCACGCTCGAGAAGCGGCAAGTGCGCGGAAATGTCGGTGTATGTTGGTCTTGAAACGGTTCAGGTTGTAACCTGCAGGGAAAACCGTCGCAGGGAGTTTATTCCACAGCGATGCTGTTCTCCAGAGATATGAATTCTGATATAATGAGGTTCTTGGTGCCTCTAGTTTGACAGTAAATTCATGGTTACCGTCTGTTTGACGGGTTCGCCTGGTAGGCGCTACTCTCGGTGGAATCATACGTGCCAACTCTTCAGAGCATTTTCCGTGATAGTACCTGTAGAAGAGAGATAAATCGCCCACAGATCTGCGATGTTCGAGACCATCCAAGTTACGAGTAAGTGCGGGGTCATTGATCAGCTTGATAGCTCGTTTTTGCACGGTATTCAAAAGCATTAAGGTATGTTTGGGTGCTGCACTCCATATATGTGAGCAGTACTCCATAGTTGGTCGAATCTGGGCTTTGTAGAGTGTCAGCAATTGGCTTGGTGTGTACAGATGTCTTGTACGAAATAGCACCCCCAGCTTTTGGGAGGCCCTTTTAGCAATATCTGCCACGTGACTGTGCCAAGACATGTTGGTCTCTGCAGTAACCCCCAAGATGTTCAACTGACTCTGTAATGTGACAGCACTTCCAGATAGCATAATGTTTGGCTCACCGGTGCTGGTCTTTTTTGAAAACAGAGCTGCTTGGGTTTTCTGCGCGTTGAACTGTACAAGGTTTTTGTTACCCCAGTCCTCTATTATCTCCAGGTCGTTATTTATCTGCGATATTTGAGTTAGTCTAAGATGATGGAATTCACGTGCGGAAAGACCTGTGGGTGGTATGAGTGAGGAGACTACATTGCCATCGTCTGCAAAGCAATAAAGTGGATTTACTGTTTTATCTATGAGGTCATTTATGTAAATCAGGAAAAGAGTTGGCGAAAAAAAAAGAATTTATTAAAAATATTTATTTATTCATTATAAAAATGCAAAAATACTTAAATTAAAAATAAGGGAGTGAATCCTACGCCTACCGGTAGGTCCTTTGTTATCCAACAATCGTACGCCTACCAGTAGGTTCTTTTTCATCCACCGATTGTGCGCCTACTGGTAGGACCTTTTTCGTCAATTGATCGAGCGCCTACTGGAAAGTGTGTTATTACTTTAGAATTTGTATGTCCTACCAGTCAGCTGTTGCTAAATACTTTAGTAAAATTTTGTTTTTTTGTAGAATTGACATCAAGAAATTCGTCCACTGAGTAATAAGCCTCTATAAGTACCTTAACATCTTTCTCTCTTGGGCTTTAAACTTGTTGATGTTTGGAATCTGCTCTACTTCATTCCAGACGGCAACCTATTCAAAATCCTTCTGGCACGCACCTTGAAGTTATCTTTAAATCTTCGATTGCTCGCTACGCTCGCCAAACCTCAAAAAGAAGATTCTTGGATGCGTAAATGCACCAAAAACATGCAAAGTCTTTTTTTAAATATAGTACTTGACCTTGTATCTTATGCTCTAAAATAAAAGATTTTCTTTTCCTGATTTCAAAAATATACATATATTGTAGGTATATTGATGACATTTTGGTTGAGCTGAGCTGGAGCCCTTTTTGACATACTTTATCTTAGCTAATTGATTAGGTACAAGATTTGCATTTTTATAAAAATATCAAAAGCTCATGGAAACAATGAAGTTGTTAACGTTGTCCTGTTAATAAATTTGACGTGTCGAAATTTCATTGTTACAATTTTTATTATTATTTCCATATATTAGGTGCCTATTTTTAATTAGTAACAATATATACAGTGCGTCCCGCTTAAGGACTAATCACCCTTCGAAAATTTTCATTTTTCAACCCATTCAATTAATTTTTTTTTTGTCTTAATCTACTCGAATTTGGCTCAATAATTTTATTTCTGCAGCTATACTGGTGCACAGGGTGTCCTCATTTATAGGCTCAAATTTCAATAAGTATACTATTAGGGATTTTTTTTGTAGAAATCTGATCGCAGATTCTTGTTTAGAATGGTCTAAAAACCAAATGTGCTAATTTTTGTTTCAATAGGTACGATACAGGATGATCAAAACAAATTTTCACAATTTAATGAATCAAATCGCAAAAATGTTATATTTTGAGATAAGTTTACTACAAGCTTTGGCTAAGGATGTTCTAATTTGAAAATTTTAACCCTGTAACATATTGAAACAAAAATTAGTACATTTGGGTTTTAGACCATTCTAAACAAGAATCTGCTATCAGATTTTTTTCTAAAAAAATCCCAAATGGTACTTTATGGCTATTTGCTCGGCTATCACTTAAGGGATATTTAATCTAAGTAAAGCTTTGAATGTGACTTTTGTTTCTATAAGAGTCATATTCAAAACTTCACTGAGATTAAATTTCCCTTAAGTAGTAGCGGTGCAAATAGCTGGTAGGCGTAGGATTCTTAAATTAATATGAACCTACCGGTAGGTTCAGGATTTTTTTTACAAACAGTACCTACCGATAGGCGTTATATCATGTGGTAATTGGGGACCTTCCATAATGTTTTAGCGTTATACATACGGTAGGCTCTCAATGAATGAAACAAACAGGACCTACCGGTAGGCGCAGAATTCACTCCCTAAAAATAATGGTGGGTGTCAATCAGGACCAGGGAAATTATCTTTAAATCGTCTTTCTACAACCCCCTTAATATCCAGATATTGTTTCACAATGCGTCTTATTTCAAAGTGAGTTAAAGGAAATCCCCATTCAGCTGCTCTAATAAGTTCGTCTTCTTCCGCTTTTTTTCAGAACTGTAAGTCTTCCATATCTTCCTTATTTATGATTTTTACATCTTCTCTGTAAAGTTGATTTGGTTACCTTCCATTTGTCGGCCGCTGTTTTATAGGACTTTCCAGATTGTACGTCTATTATGGCACTTTTCATATTGTTTCCTTCGAAGGCGTGATATTTATTAGAACCTACTTTGCGAATATATTTTCTTGGCATGTTGACCCCCTGAAAACAAAACGGATTAAATAACATGGGGTAACTTGAGACACGGCCTAACTTGGGACAATGGTTGTCCGAAGTTACCCAAAATCAGGACTTTTTTTGAAAAAATATTTCAAAATCTAAAAAAATTGTCTAAAAGCGGGCAACGACATTGGCAGTATTTATAAAACATACAAAATTAACTAAAAAATGTAATTGGACTTACCTGCTTACCTTTTGACTCCCTCTTCCAGATAAAGTTTTCGACCATTTATTTTTGCCTTGCTTCTCACCACCACTTATGTTTTTTTTTTATACTTTTGAAATATCATTAATTTATAAAGAATTCATTAATTTAATCATCAACAGGTTGCTCTTCAACTAACCAAAACAATAAATTTAAGTTATGTTTATATTTGCGTTGTTGACGCTAGTAAAATTAGAACATCCGAAGTTGCGTCCCAAATAACCCCATTTTACGGTACCATTAAATTAAAAAAAAAATCGATTTTTCCTAAAATCGATATTTAAACTCCAATAATTTTATGAATCGATTTTGTGATATCCGATTCGGATCGATTCCGAAAATCGATCTCTTGGAGAGAATCGAACACCCCTACTCTCTGGGTGCTCGATTATATCGTAATAACGATCCGCGATTCTCGAGAATTTAGATTTGCACAAACACAGGTGAGAACCTGCATAAAAATTGACAAAATCTAATGGCAAACGAAGTTGTAGTGGTTCCTCTTAGGAAAGTTGTTTTTGACGTTGTTTTGATACAATTAGGTAAGCACGATGTCATAATAGAATAGAATAGTATGTTTTTTTTTGAAGTTTTATGACAAAACTACCAGATCAAGTTCGTTTTACGATATTTTCGCGTTTTGTTTGAAGGCTCAGCAACAATGTAACGGTTGTAAAGGAGCAAATGACATCACCACACAATAATAATTAACCAGTATTTATATAATAAGTACAGGTAACTGTATCTTTAACTATTTCAGTGGTTCTTGTAATGGCATTGCAAGCTTGAGGTTTGATAAAAATAAGAAAAGCTTCAAGCTAAATTTGTTTAGAAATAATTTTACCAAACAAAGGTCATAGAGAAAATGTTATACGACGTGATACATTTGCTTCAATGCATATAAAACTCTCAAGTATTTCAACGTCATAAGTACATTGATGTAAAATGCAAAATTGTATCTATCTATCTAAAGTAAATTATAGTTACAATATTTATTTTCATTCAATTTTATTGTTGTACTTATCTAGATATTACTTTGTATGTACATATAACACCAAGTTGATATATTATGTATTATGGGATTTACCACACATGTTATGTTCTAATAATGGTGGTTACATCTTATCTATATGACCGTATGTTAGGAGAATAGGTATCTAAAATAATTTGGTTATCTTGAAATTTTGACTTTGGTTTTTGGCCCAATACACAGGAAAATTCTGAAAATGACGAAAATCGAAACTTCAACCGACCATAACTCCGTAACGGTAAATCGTAGAGGAAAACTCTCTAGGAACAGATTGTAGAACTCGTCGAGATCTACACAAAAACTCATCGAGTCTTACTTCTACGACTTACGATTTCCGAGATATTTTACTTGGAAGTTTTGAAATTTTTAGGTAGTTTGGGTTAGTTAAAATTTAAAATTTTCCAGATTTTCTTCCACTACATGATAGAGTAGATTTACAGAAATATCGACACCCACCTTTCCCCCTTAATTTCCCGTTGTTCCAGGAGTTTCCGTTCCTTTTCTATACCTCATTAAATGGAAAATCGAAATTTTCCGAACATTGAAAAAACAAAAATTCAACTGTGTAGAGGAGGTCAAAACAAGCAGAAAACCTACTTGGCATTTTCCCATAGGACGTCTCTTAAGTCCGGAAAAAAAGAAAAAAGAAAATTAATATAGGGATGAGGCTTTTCCAGCCTTGGTCTTATTAAATGGGCCATAACTCTGGGACGCCTGGAACGATTTCAATAAATCATGTTTCTTTCGAAAGAAGATTAAATTGGCTACAAAATGACTCAATTTAATATCAATTATTACTATTACCATTCCAAAGTTATAAAGTTTCAAAGTTGAAATTTATCTCTCAAAGTTCGAAGCAAATTCTTTTACATTTTCAACTTGTAAGGGCCATATAAGTACCCTGAAACTCTACCGAGGACACAATAGTAATACATGAAGTATTGATCACCTGTCAAGAGATGAATGTAGTAGTCGATCGCAAACAATTTGAAAAACAATAAACAATTATTAAAATAACAAAATCAAGTCAAGACCCTTCAGAGCTGGGAAACTATTGAAGCTGATTGAAATTACTATGAATGATTTAGAAGATTGAAATTTGAAAGAAAATAGAAACCGCTGCAGAAACTTCTACAAAAACAAAAAACAACAAAAGCAAGATAAAAATATATTGACAGATTATTCCGTAACATTCGATAAGTCAGAGGTAAAAAAGAAACGGAGAAGGAATCAAAGGTTTGAGAGAAGAATCCAAGAAAGAACATAAAAGAAATAGGAGGAATTAATTTGGAATAAAACCAACAAACACAGTGTAATCTATTTAAAAAAGTAGAGAAGCCTAAAAATTTTCATAATTCACAGTTCTATGCAAACTTCGTTTATGTTTCTCCTAAATATTTAAAGTACAGCTTGTCAAACATACCTAGAAACGTGAAAAAGAAACGATTTTCTATATACAGATGGTAATATAAGTATATTTGACAAGTTATACCTAATATACCATTCATTTAAAACATTGATGAATAATTTTATTATCATATAATCTCGTTGTACAAAATTTATCGAGCATGACATTATTTGTCTTTTATTCCAGTGGGGTGGCCTATATTGTTCCTGTTTCTCTGGGCCAAACCTTTTCACAGGGGATTCTTTTGCGAAGATGACAGCATACGACATCCCTTTCACGAATCCACCGTTCCAAGTTGGTCTTTGTACATTACGGGATTTGGGTTGAACATCATCACCGTAAGTAATTTATTGTAATTTTCAGTGTAACAACAAAAACTTGTTTAATTACTAATATTGATTAAATTATACAAAACTTCTTAAATTTTGGATTAAAAGTAAAGCTGCTTCAAGGTGAGAATCCAATACAGATCAGATAATGAATTGGAAAAGTTAATACCTATGCTGAAGTAAAAAACCAATTTATTTTGGTTTCAGTGCAACTACTATTAGGAAAGGTTCAACGATCAGCGGATACTATCTTTAGAAATGAATAACTTACTTGCCTATCATCAAGGTGACTCATTATTTTCGCTGTTTTTTTTTTTTTGAAAATACATAATTGGTCGATAAATAATTATAAATTATTCTGACGTAGGTATATAGAGATAATGTCATTGCTAATATTGTTTTTATCAAACGTTACAAGGTGAGCTACAAGTTTAACTTGGTATAGTTGGAAGTAGGTATACAGAAAATAATAGAGATCTGTATAAATTTTAATAGACTAAATATAATTCTTTTCTGAAAATGATTTTTAAAAGTCCAAACTATTTCCAATGTGAATTTTAAATCCTTTGAGCCCCTATAGGATAATTTTTGCTATACTTACCCTATCTACTTTTTCAAGAGATGATCTTGAATTGGTACTTACCGAGCCCTTTGGGCATGTCACAGGGGTCCTAGAACAATAAGTTTATATGCTAAATAAATTTCTCAAAGAAATTGATAATGTGTTCAAATAGCTCTAAGAATTGAAACTTCACAAGTTTTAATCTAAAATAGTCAATTTATAACAAAAAATGAGAAAAATAATGATGATTAAATTATCATCGTTTTTCTTTTAAACCACCCTCAAAGTAATTTGCTTGCAAATCAAGTGAGGTTCACCAAACGATGTATTTTGGTACTGCCTATAATTTCGAAAATTTCTGTAATTCAAAGCAGTGTTGCCCGGTCTACTGATTTATCAGTAGATCTACTGATTTGGCCACTGGTCTACTGATATACTGATATCGATGTAAATTTCACTGATAAAAGCCGTTGTCATCATTTACCTGCTTTTTATGATATTTTTTAAATTGAAACTTTGTAAGAAAATGTCACAGCAATAATTTCATACGCGACCTTTGGGCTAGAATTTCTAAGAGTGTTCTCTGAACGACTCGTCTGCCCGATTACTCCGAGCAGTCCGGTGTGATTTGTATTGAAACAATCGAACCCTCGCAGTGCAGGCGCTGCACTCAACCTAACTGGGGAATCCCCAGCGTTCGTGCGTGTTTGTATTGTGTCTTGTTATCTTGTTTATTTGCTTGTTGTCTTGCCAGTTGCGTAAACGCATGCGTTGTTGTTGGTTAGTCAATTGGTCACATAGCGTTATGTTGTACAACTAACTGCCGCCTGTTTTACCCAATGTGACGTGGCGGCCAAGCAAGTTTGTTTTAGATATTGTTCGTCGATTTTAATCTGATACTCGGACGGAATGTAAGCTGGTGGCTCCCTACATTAGAACTCCAATGGTTACCTGATGTCACACCTGTTTTTGCCATATGAAACACCCCCTCGCTCCTCATACCGCAAGTATCAGTTAAAAATCGACGAACAATATGTTTTTATGCGTATTTTAAATTATTTTGCATACAGTTTTGCTAACAACTTTGATTTTCATTATTTAATAAAATATGTGTTGACTACCCACTGAACAAAATAAGATTACAGTAATAATGAGGTAACATTACACTGCAAACGTGTAAGGTTATATTGAAGTTTACTGTAATGTTGACGCAGTATTGCGGCAAGTACTGAAACAGCCTTAGGGTAATATTACAAATGCAAGGTTTATAAATGATAACCTTCCAGCAATATTACTGGAATATTAGATCAAAACTTCAGTAAACTTACGAGTGTAAGGTTGCAAATTTAAATATACCTTAGGGTTACTTGCAATTTATTAGTAAGTTTACTGCAATAATGTATTTTTATTACAAATATATTGGGTTCGCAACTTTACTGCAATAAAAAAGCAATGTTTGCAACTGTAAATACTATGTACCTATACAGAGAGATTTGAGTTGCGGTGCATAAACTCTTACAGCTTGTTCTAAAAACAAGCTGTTAAAATTTGTGCCTGAAACCCATAATGATATTAGGTAGATATTTTATTATAAATAAAAGTACAAGTTTTTGGAAAACAAAATAAAAAGGTTGGTATATTATGTATATCTATAATAATCACAATAGAAAAATATACTTAGGTGAAAAACAAAACGTAAAAAGTAATATCTCAAAGCAAAATAAATAAAAATTCTAAACAGAAAAAAAAAGCGAAATTTTAGATTGGTTCATACACAGGACGAAGTAGGTACTGGCTGCTACCACAGCTGCTACTTATATTGTCACCTGAAACAAAAACAAAATCAGGGAGTAGTTCTGTATTTTTATTATAATAATTATTCCCCGTCGTAGCCACTTTCTTTCTGGACATTACCTACCAAACGGTTTACGATATTTTTGATCCTAACTAAAATATTATCGTAAAATCATAATAAGTAATATAATAATAATACGTGATTTGTAGGTATGAAAAAAAAGAGGTTACGGTTTAGAAAAAAGGGGCCCCATTCCGCAGTATTTTTGTAAAAAGTATTTATTGACTATGCAAACCTTACTCACCTTATTTGAATCCTCATCCATTGTAATCGCTGTATATTTATTTCATTTCCACAGGTTCTAAAATAAAAACTGAATAATAAAAATAACCAAAAAGCAAAGCACTACCTGAACCGTTCCAATACATAATCCCAACACGAACACCAAAAATTTAGCCGAGATTCGCTTTATCACAGACACAACATTCAACCAGCAGACACAGCACTGAACTCAAACGACAAATAGCGACTTGATGGCGTCGATTTGCTTTCGGTTTAGTTCGTATCCCCGATGTCGTTCCGATCGTTATCAATGGCGGCAAAGCTTCAGCAAGTTTACATTCAATATTAAATTATAACATTGCAAAATAATATCAAGACAACTTTAAGGCATCTTTGCGATGTAACCTTACCTACAAGTTATATTTCCAATTTTGCAGCAAGTTTACATTTGGTAGTTATTATAACATTGCAAAATTTATACCAGTTCAATTTAAATGCATATTTACAATGTTAATTTGCGTACAAGTTATAATTTCTAATATGCGTTAAAATTTCAAGGATATTCCATTTTGTAATTTATCAACGTAATGTTGTATCAAAAATAATTCAATATTACATTGTAATGTTGCGAAACTAAGATCAGAGCATATCAGAGTAATATTGCATTAGGCTTTCGTAACATTGCATGTTCAGTGGGAGGTACCTGAACTATTAATTCCGGCAGAAACTAGATATTTTTTTGTGTTTTTTGGCCCATGTGTGGCCGCCACGCCATCTTGAATGTCACGTGGTTTGAATTGCCTAATACTACAACTTTTGTATTTACACCTTTCATCTACCTGTAAAGGTAAAGGCTGGTGGGGTGTCAATATACATATAAAAAAACCATCGAAAAAAAAACACTTTGTACTTGAACAATAACTTATTATATAAAGTTAGAATTTGTAAGACTATCCACTTTTTGTCAATTCAGCTTTCAACGGGAATTAGTAATGTTACTTCATTAAACTAGTAATATATTGTGACAAGTTATTCAAGTACAAACGAGTGGATTGTTGCGGAATTTATGAGTGGACCTCTGCGGGACGAGCGCAGCGAGTTCCGCAGCCATCTATTCATCAATATATTGTTTAATGATGATACTAACCTGACTCACTCAAATGTGAGTTATTCTCATTAGTTTAAAAACTACATGGTTCAGGTTAATGTCTTACCTAAAAAGTTCAGCAGTATATTGATGAGTAGATGGCTGCGGAACTCACTGCGCTTATCCCGCAGAAGTCCACCCATAAGTTCCGCAACAATCCACTTATTTGTACTTTAACAATAACTTATTATATAAAATCAAAATTTATAAGATTATGATTATTGCGAAACTTATGGGTGGACCTCTGCGGGACGAGCGCAGCGAGTTCCGCAGCCATCTATTCATCAATATGTTGTTTAATTACGATATTAAATTAACTCACTCAAATGTGAGTTATTCTCATTACTTTAAAAACTACATGTTTCAGGTAAATGTCTTACTTGACAGTTCAGCAGTATATCGGTGACTAGATGACTACTTTCTATTCACGGATCACATTTAGAACCAATTTGGAACTAGTTTAGAATTCATAGACTTTAAACACAAAACTTATGATGATTTCAATATCCGTAGAACTTATTTGGATCTGATCCAGAAACCGAAAAATACTTTCTCTTCTCATGTTTTCATGTGCACATATTAATACCAGATCTTTACTTAATAAATTTAATATTTTTCAAGATCATGTTCTTTTACATAACTATGATGTCTTGGGGGTGTCAGAGACGTGGCTGAGTGCTGAAATTCACGAGAATGCTCCGCAAATGAATAACTACACATTTGTAAGGAGGGATAGAGAGACGAGAGCTGGTGTTGTTGGAGTATATGTCAAAAACAACTTAAATTTTACTATTCTTTTAAGCGAGAGTAGGGAGTATCTTGAGCAAATCTGGATTAAGGTGACTAACTCGAATAATATGTCTATTGTTATAGGAAATGTTTATAGGCCGCCTGACACCAACGAAAAAATTTTTTTTTCACATTTTGAAGATACTCTTGTATCCATGTTCACCTCCTATGATCACGTAATCTGTATGGGAGACTTTAACATAAACATGTTTAATTTGTTGTCAAATAGAACGCTAAAATTTGTTGAATTATATGAAACTTTCAGCTTCAAGCAATTAATAAACAGCCCTACCAGAATAACAAAGAATACAGAGACATTAATTGATCTGTTTCTATATAATGGGGAAAATGCAATTAATAGTGGTACAAGAGATATTCAGGTGTCTGACCATCACCTTATTTTTTGTGAATTTAACTTCCAGCTGACAACAAAT